TCAGTGGAGCTGGTTTGAAAAGTGAATGCAAAAGGCACGTTCACACCGCTCCGAATTGTTGCGTTCACCAACACACCAAAAAAATCCGGAACTAAAATTAGTTCATGAGAACCTTTTTACCCCCTTTTCCGTGGGACTTTCGTGGGAGAAAAAGGTTCCTATGTCTGGTTGGCTGTGCGGAATACAAACCACGCCCCGTAAAACTCCCAAAAAGTTTTGTGAAACTGCCATTTTGTTATCCTCGCATTAGCATTATTAGCATTAGCCCAGCGCAGAAANCTAACTTATGACAACACAAAATAAAACATGGGAGCCGTGGAGATGAGGAGGTGTCGGCGTTCTGGCGATTTACTCGGAAGGCTTCAGTAGAAGCTGCTGGGAGTCCAGAACTAAAGAGTTCTCATGAACTAAGTTCTGATTAACCTTTGTGGGAAAAGTACTGCGGTGTGAAAGCGCCTATTGGTTAACTGCTTTGAGATGTCACGGGCGATTTACTCGGAAGGCTTCAGTAGAAGCTGCTGGGAGTCCCAGAACTAAAGAGTTCTCATGAACTAAGTTCTGATGAACCTTTGTGGGAAAAGTGCTGCGGTGTGAAAGCGCCTATAGGGAGCAATTTAATCATTTGCACTGTTTCCACATTTCTAAAAGTCTTATGTTATACATGTTTGTTGTATGTTTTTTGGATGAAATGCTGTGTTTTGTATTTATGTGAACACTCACCTGGTTGCCAGTTGTGCTCTTTAGCTTCGTTGTAAAACTGCTGAAGTACCAGAAAATCTATGACATCTGGCATGTCATGGTACCTTTAGAGTGTGGGAATTAAACATTTAATTAAATGCAGGCATGCTTTAATTTACATTTTGTTAATATAAAATAATATTATATTCCTATGTTGCTTACTTTAAGGAGAAAGATTCACTGGTCATCTTCCCTGAGACTGAGTCCACGAAAGCCAGCTTTAGGCAGCAGAGGGTGGGAGGTCCAACTTCATATTTAATTCCAACCACCTTCACAGATTCTTGGTCCTGAGGAGGCAAAAGAAACACAAAGTTAAGCTCTGCCAATCTTTCCCTTGGCCAAGGAAAGTACATCCCATTGCCGTCTTCAGAAATGACAACATGTGGCTGCCTTGTTCGGAACACGTTCACTACACAGGCTGCTCCTCACCCTGAGGTCAAGTCTGTTCCATGGCTGCTTCTGAGGGTTGATGCTGTAAGCCTTAGCCCTGCGGACAGCGCGGACATAAGCCTGGTGGCCCTGTTTGAAGTAGACGAGCTGGAGGAAGACATGAGAGATGTTGTCAAAAACGTATGTTATGAACCGTTATTTCCGTTTTCAGAGAGTGAAAAACCTTACCTCATCTCCCATTTGTGGAACAAAAGGAGAGCGATGTGGGACGGTCTCCATTATCCATGCTGGTGGCAGCCACTCCTCTGCATCAAGTCCAGCCAGAGAGGACGTGGGTTTCTAGCATTAAGCAATGACAAAACCTGTTGAAGTACAGAACTCCTCCTGTACTGTGAGGTGAAGATGTTTTAAGGAGGTCATGTTACCTGTTTGGTCTCCTTAGGCTTCTTCTTTTTCTCGTTGTCCTTCTTCCTGGGCTCCTTTGCCTTGCCATCTCCTTCCTCCTCCTCGTCCTCCTCCTCGTCCTCCTCCGAGCTGCTGTAACCCCGCGGTTGTACGGGCCTCCTGGTTGGTCGCTTCGGCGGCTGCAGGTTGATCCCAGCATCGGCTGTCCAATCAGAATACTCACTGGAGGAGTCACTGAGAATGAAAGAGATATTATGTTAGATTAGTGATCATTACTGCATTTAGAAAACACACTTCTCCGTCAGAAGATATTTACCCGGAGCTGCTTTCATTCTGCCACTGAGCTTCACCATCAGAGGACGCTTCGCTTTGCTCCGCCTGCTCTGCTGCCTGTCAATAGAAATACACACAGCAATTGTATTATTCTGAATGATAGTTAACAGACGGTGCTCTACTGGACATGTCATGTTTGGACATCAAGAGTAGAAAGAGGGAACGTACATTTCCTTCGCTATCAGAGTCCACCTGGCTCTCAGTTTCAAGTTGGTTGCTGGAATTTCGACTCCGCCGAGGACGACGGACTTGAGCCGAGCGTGTCTGATAGGCGTGGCGCTGCTGCTTTTTCTTGGACGGCCGCAGGGATCGCATGCGAGAAGTCGGCTGATCGCTCTATAAAGTGCGTAAGGAGGGTTGAAGACAAGTAAAACTGAAATGAATTGGCAACAATAGATAGTATTTAGTTGTAAAAATAACTGTGAGGTTAAAAGTAGTGTACCATTGGTGTGCAGGACACTGGCTTCTTCCGCCTCTCTGCGTTGTAAAGAGAACATTCCATGTCGCCTTTGGCTTTTCTGCACTGCTCCACAGATCTAATAAGAAATCCATCATGAAAAATACATAATTAATAAAAAAGCAATTTCACTAATATAATCTTTCTGTGATATCCTCACATCCAATAAAAAGTCTTTCTGTCTGCCTCACCTGGAGATCCCACGCGGCACCTCGTTGACCATCACCCTGCGGCTCCAGGCCAGCAGGTCCCTTTCGGTGGCCACCTGACTCGGCAGGACGTTATGCTGCATCTGCCACACCCCGTCCACCTGCCCACTCCTGCGGGGGGTACCAGCCACAGAGGAAGCCTCCCCCTCTGCTTCGTTTCCTTCTAAGAATCGAGATGAAAATTGTTCGTTATGGCAAGATGTTAATGGGTGGATTTTGGAATTCAATTATGTGGGGGATGAGGGGGGGGTCATGGACAATTAAAATACTAGGAGAAAAGTAGGCAATAGGGAGGAAAGTCAGAGCTCTAGCATGCATGGGAAGCATATTGTCATCGATAATTTAAATACAATTATTTATACAACATATACACAACTTATACAAGTAGATTATCAGTGGTGTTTTTTTCTCTATTTTTAGCTCGCGGCACAAGGAGAAATAAAAGAGAAGCTAAAACTGTCACAGAAGATTGAGCACTTCTGCATTTTGTGTGAACCCACCATTATACACTGTATCACAACAAATAAAACTAAGAAAAGTTTGTTTACATAATGTAAAGTCAAACCAGGGTTTCCGGTTTTTTCTTGCCGGTCAAGTTTCCGGAAAGAATTTATTTTAGCGGACAAATTTGAAACTTACCGGTCATGTTTCAATAATAATAATAAGAATTGCGTAGCAGAGTTTCCATTAGCAGTAATTACCACCGGACTATGACCGGGTATGCTGATGTTTAAAACTCAGTTAATGGGAGTCATTTTTATATTGCTTCAGTTTATAATTGTAACAGATCGAAATTTTCATTTCTCAATAAATGATGCGCAAACAACAAACAACATAATTATTACATTCAAACAAACTACTTTAAGTAGATAAAGTACATTATTCAAAAGTTTACATTAACTTTGAAAATAACAGGGGAGAAACCGGAGCCTCTCTTTTTCCTCTTTTTCCTCTCTCTCTCTCTCCCTCCCTCCCTCTCTCTCTCTCTCTCTCTCTCTCTTGACAGCCTGTCTGTATTTCATGCAGCTCACTAAACAGTGGGCGGAGCTTCAGGTGATTATGCAGAGCTGCGTGTCTCCGTCAGACTCAGCAGCTGATCTGATCTCTCTCTCGCGTCCGGTTATACTTCACTCGCGTTTATGTCCATATCGATCAGATCCAGCTCTCCTGATCGCCCTTTATAGAGAGCACCGATCAAACTATTAAGAGTGAATATCGGCCGATAATGACCGGCGGCCGATCGATCGGAGCATCCCTAATTATTAACGGACATTTTGACCGGCAGGTTTTGAACTTACCGGTTTTTAATACATTTTACCAGCTAAAAAAACGGTAATTACCGGCTAACGGAAACCCTGAGTCAAACATACCTTCCGCTCCTTCAGCTGGCGGTTCTTCGATCTCACGCCCGTCCTGCTCATCCTGCAACTGTCTGATCAGATTGTCCAAAATGCTTTCTCTGTTTTCTGCTGTTTGCTGGCCAAGTACCTGCTCAACCAACTCTCCCTCACCTAAGCAGAAGAAAAAGAAAATATTTTGTCAAACATTTAAACTTCCTAAGATAAAAGTGTGCAAGCATTTTGAGTAAATGTTGTGAGAGAATAAGGGAGCATGTGTTTACTGTTAGCCATGTATCCTAGTTGGGGTACCAGCTGGTCCTCCTGGCACTGCTCTCTCCCTGGCACCAGGCGCTGGTAGTGAGGAGGGTGAGGATTCCCATCAATGTCCACCAGGAAGGGTGAAGGCATGAGGTGTGGAGCCTGCTGCGTCTGCTCATCCAGAACGTAGTTATTAGCATCACGGATGAGAGGTCGGTAGTCCGTGTGGAAGAACATCTGATCAGGAATCTGGAGGGAATCATGAATACATTTGTGTTTATTATAATGATACCTAATCCGTACAATATTTGAAGGGGCCCTATTAAATTAATTGCAGGCTCATATTTCTATTTTGTTCCTCTACTGGGACATGTTTAAATGCTTCAATGTTCAAAAAGGTCTTTATTTTTCTCATACTGCCTGTGCTGCAGCTCCTCTTTCCACCCTCTGTCTGAAACCAAAGCCCAGTCTGGTTAGCTAGTCAACCACCTATGTTGTGATTGGTCAATCCCTTAGAGATGTCCCGCCCCTTAGCCTATCACGTACAATTTGTTCGAGTGCTAGCCAATGGAATGTGCATGTGTTACATAGTGATGTCACTATGTTGCAGAAGTAAACAAAGGACTACAACCGAGGCGTTTCAGGCAGGGGGGGGGGGTTGTGGAAGAGAAGCTCTCTCTGGCATGGACTTTTTCCATGCACAAAAACAACAGGAAATGGAACACCCCAAAAAGTAGGGTCTCTGTAAGTATGTGTATCATCGACAATGCTGTTTATTATTATTATTTATTCCAGTCTCTTTAAAGAAAATAGGAAATTATAGAGTGATTTTGAACAACAGTCATGTGCCGTTACCTTCTCATATCGTCTGCTGCAGCCAAAGCCAAAGATGAGCAAATGGCCGTGTGAGTCAGTGCAGGCAAAATGCTGTCCATCAGTGGAGAACTTGCAGTCAAAAATAGCACCGTGGCCTTGCCCTTCAATCTGGAAACAACACATTTTAATGTTATCTCAATGATAGAATAGAAAAATCACTAATGGTGGGTAATTTTCATCATAGAACAATTACCATGTTGAAGTAGTTACGGATCTTGGCTCCTTTGGCGAGGTCCCACATGTAAATGTTGCCATCGTGGCCAGCAGACAGCATGATGCGGGAGTCAAATGGATGAGCCTCCAGCACAAACAACTCGTCGTCATGACCCTTTGAACAGAAAACAAACAAACATTCAAGTCACTAGGTAGGTTAAAAACAGCCTTTTGTTAATGTGGTACTTGCTTCATCTACTCACAGATAAGACATGCAGCAGCTGTCCCGTGGTGGTGCTCCACACTTTGAGCAGGAAGTTTGATACCGCTGTGATGACGGTGCTGTCTGCACGGTCCCACGCCACCATGGTAACCACCAGCTTAGTTTTATCATCTCCATTGGCGACAGCACTCCTGGAAGAAAATATGCCGTTAGACATGAAACACTTATAGACAGAGGAAGAAAAGGCATCATGAATATTGATCCCTTTCTTACCCGGGGAGCCTGGCACTAATGTCTAAAGTGACACTCTTCCACTCCTGTTGCTGGTAATGCCAGATCTTGGCTGTACCGTCACGACTGCCGCTCACAAACCTTAGACTGGACACATAAACACTGTCAGAGGCTTGAAATCCCTACAAAAAACTGTTTGAGAAATATGATCTCAGCAAACACACTCACCTGTCGCTGTTATTGCTAAATTGGACGACTACAACTTTATCCTAAAACAGGAAAAGAAGACATGTGGTTGGGTTACAGATAGATCTTGTTAGAATTAAGTTAAATAGAGAAGACCAAAAATAATGCAGCTGCTGTGTTTGGTTTCTTACCGTGTGCGCATCCATCTCAGAGACCTTCACAGGAGTTTCCCCACCAAGGTAGTAGACTCTGATCAGATGATCAGTGCCACCGGTTGCCATGAACATACCACCTGTTAAGAACACAATCAGTGTACAATAAATATCCTTATATCCATATTCTATTTATTATGTTTGTATCTTAGAAAAAACATTTATCATCGTTCAAACATAGAATCTTGAGTTTGTGAAATTTTACAATGATCCAAATACATCAATTAATTCCTTATAAGCACACAATGTATACAATATCTGTTTTTTTATTACTGCACATATTCTATTCCAATTCAATGTAAATACTGCTATATTTTTCTTTTTATGTTATTATGGTTTTCTTAAAATAGTTTTCTAATTGCGTTTAATTGTTGTTTTACTTTTATGTATGCACCACAGCACCAAGTCAAATTCCTCGTACGTGTCAACCTACCTGGTAATAAACCTGTTTCTGATTCTAATTCTGATCATATATACTGCCTGATTATGACTTGTTTCTTAGCAGTTATTGTGTCACTAAAAAGGACACTTTCAACTTTTTTTTCTGCACTGTTATTGTCATTACACAGTACAGGTACTATGTAATGAAATGGTTTCTCTGCATTTGACCCATCCTAGTGTTAGGAGCAGTGGGCTGCCATTATGAACGGCGCCCGGGGAGCAGTGTAGGGAACGGTGCCTTGCTCAGGGACACCTCGGTAGCACTTGGTCTTACCGGGACTTGAACTGGTGACCTTCCAGTTGCCAAGCCAAGCCCCTATGGACTTTGCCACCACCACAACTGAGAGTCTCTGTTCATTTCTTAAAATAAGCTAATGCTACTAACTGCTATAAAAGAGTTCAAAAACACCAAATAGTTGGATTAACTTGCTTACAAATAAAAAGTAGGTAAAAAGTTAGGTGGATTTTTGTCAGATGTTGCTTTGTTTATCACAGCAGATTAGGGAAATACATCTTGGACACGTAATGTCACCAGGCAGGGAAACACACTTACCACTGCTGAAAGAGGAAGTGGAGACCTGTGCTCCTGGACGTGAACGCTCAACAAACTTGACTGGTTGATCCCTAAGAAAAGAGAACAAAGACAAAAGCTGTTATTCCCATGAAATAGAGGTATTTTTTTCCACGGCAAGAAACAGCAGAGCTAAAAAAAAAGTAAGTGAAAGATATATCAAACACTTACTGGAATTTCATGCTGAGCGAGTGCCACTTCCAGAAACACACCATGCCGTCTGCACCGGTGGAGGCCAGGTACCGCGTTGTCCCTTTGATGGCAGGACAAAACTTGGGGATAGAAAGTCAGTGTTAGTTATTAACAGGCAAGAAGGGACCAAATACAGTGGCAATGGAGTACAGAACAAGTGCAGAAAATCGAACTGATAGAATCTTTGGATGCAACAAAAAACATTGTTGATATGTTTCAACCCTATTTCAGCAATTAAAAATGCATCAGTCCTACCTGTATAGATGTGATGGAGGCAGCGTGGGCCTGCAGAACCGTGATGGGTGCGCAGGTACGCAGGCACCACACTCTGATGGTTTTGTCACAGCTGGCTGAGGCGATGAAGGTGTTCTCATGGTTGACGGCCATGTCACAGATCTCTGCCGAGTGGCCGCGGAGCGTGGACAAGAGGCGGCCGTCATCTGTGGCCCAGATTTTAACCAGGCAGTCATCAGAACCCTAAAACGCATGGGACATTTGCAAAATATAAGGACAGTTTTCAACCAAAGAGTGTTATCATAATGTCAACAAAAAAGCTAATTGTAAGTTATTGTGAGCCTCATTTATGTCAACTCAACGACTCTTTTCACGTGAATAAAATATATTTTTGTAGCAGTCAAAAGTTGAAACAAGTTTATAACCCTACCATGTACACAGTATATTATAACAATTGTATTTCTTTATAAATGTCATAGTAGTTTGCTAAGTTTAAGTCACGATGTTGTTGCAGAGCTTATATGGTGACTTTATAAGCAACTTCTGGAGCACTACTAAGATCAACAACAACAAAAAAAAGTCTGCCAACTCGCGCCGAGTAAATTGCACAGACAGCAGCTAGTAAGATTGATTTCAGTAGCCGCTTGTCTGGAAATGCCGAAGACTAGAAAAGGTTTTGAAAACTTGTCACGTAGGGATCGTCTTCTCAACAAAACATCTTTGCTAATGTCTTCTGGCCAATCAGAATCACGATAACGGCGCGGTTTTGTTGCAGGAAGTCCCGACGGAGAATAATTTTGCAGTAGAACTACTGTTTATACCTCCATTATTTTTTTGAAATAAGACCCCACGGTTTGATGATTGATAGGTGTGTGGGCTGTCTTTAATTTTGACACACAGAACACCCTTATCCACAATGTAAAGTAATTCACACAGCCTCCTTCTTCTTCTTCTCTCTGTGAGGAGCAGCAGGTTCAGCTTTCAGAACAAAGTAACAAAAAACTAAAATGGCATTCATTTTTTTTTTAAATATGTTGTGTAGTAATAGGTTTTTTTTTTTCTTCAAGAGAGTACCAGAATGTGTATTTTATGTTAGTATTTCAAAAAATCTCCTGGGGGAGAATCCCCCCAGACCCCCCTGCAGGGGTTGGGTTTTCAGCATGCCAACTTTTTCACTTGTGGGGAAATTGCAGGATTGGCTCCAGGTCGCCCTTTTTATTTACTACAAGACAAATGTGCCTTTTTATTTCATACAGTTCAATTTGGATTGAGACAGGGAAATAATCTAAACCTCACACGTGGCGTTTCACTTTCAAGGGGAGCGTGTATGTAATTACATTGCAAATACTGACTTGAGCCCCACCAATGTATGGGTTAGCCCTACCATAGATTACCCAACAAAAATACTCTGGAGCCGCCACTGCTGAGTGACACAGAAACGTCCCCCAGAGTTCTTGCTTTAATTGGTCAAATATTGATTTATTTCAAAGAAAATATTTTGCGGTTGCAATCATCCTTTCGTTGGCTAATTGTTGACCCTATTTAAGTATGCGAAAGAAAACCTGTAAATGTAAGCAGGCACACTGTCCCGTTAAAGTTTGTCTGATTAGAACATCCCATATGGATATGATCTGCATTTTTTAATTACTCACTTCAACCCTGGTGTTAGAGAGATGCCATATCTAATCTATTTTTTTTTTTTTTACTTATTGCTAGAATGGTTTGCAAAAATGTCATAAAACAGATGATAACACAACTAGTGAGATACTATATATGTGACCTGCTCTATCGAAATCAGTCGCATTGACCCGAAGACACATTTTGAGTTGTATAAACTGCTGGAAAGAGGATATTCCTAGCTTTCTAATGATATCAGGATTGTTTTTGTACTCCAAATATTAAGCGAAATATGTCACATTATATAATGACTGTCACCGAGTCATCATTTTGAGAAAAAGGCCTTCAAAGTTTTCTCTTCTCTGGAATCCATCGATCTGATTGATTATTAGCGGAGCAAATGATCAAAATACTACGGAGGGAAGATATTTTCGTTTGGATTGCTGGTCTGGGAGAAGCTCGCGAGTGTGTGTGTGTGTGTATACGTGTGTGTGTGTTTGTGTAATTTTGCGTGTGTGTATTGCGTTTGTTTCCCGGGGGAAACCCTCACGAGATACACCGGCTGTTGTTATGCCTGCTGTGACGTTAAGTTACTCCGTTCTCCGCTTGTAATTATGCCGTTACAAGCTTCAAAGTTGTATTTATCATCTGAATTTGCCGAAACAAGTTTAATATTCTGAAAGCCAAGACTTTGTTTGAATTGAAATCAGATGAAAACAAACTGTAACGGACCCTGCCGTGTTATTTATGATTTCTCTACGCTTACATTCATAATGTCAGCCGGAGGGAGGGGGAGCGGCGCTGCGGAAGAGCAGATTGCCTGTCATCTTCCCTTTACAAGCTTAAAGAATGTATTTATCGTGTGAGTTTGGAAATAAAAGTTTCATATTCTGAAAGCCAAGACTTTGTTTGTTTAAAATCAAACAAAACACCCGAACCCCGAAAAAATAGTTTTTTATGCAAATCCACGTTTATTTTGAAATGAGCCGTTGCGACTTCCGACTGATTTCGATAGAGCGGGTCACATGTGTAGTTTTTTTTGCAATAATCATCTGAGCCTGAAATCAACACTCACCGTAAATATCCGACGGCCGGTGCGGTCAAAGGCTACACAGTAGACTGAAGACAGGTGGCCAAGGATACGTTTGTGTATCTTCATGTGTTGGTAGGAGGAAGACGGAACGGCCTGGCTGAAACGAGCTCTGCCTGTGGCCTGGCGAGCGCCCATGATGGATACTGCATACGAAAACAAACAGCAATGATTAAAAGGGCGAAACACACACTGCTAAAGAATAAGATGACATCATTCACTAGGTCTCGGGGCATTAAAAAGTACAAGTTTCACACACCAACATTGGGAGGGTTGCCAATGCTGACTGGAGGTTCTGGTGGACGTCCTCGGTGCAGTGCGGCGACAGCTGAGCCACTGCATACTTTGTGGCTGCAACCTAATTACACGGTTAGAGAACAAAAACATATTGAGGAAAGTGTGATACTGATACAGATACTTTTGCAACAAACCACACAAACAATAAATCTATATAAAAACAGTATTGGACTTTCCGTAAATACAGAAAAAAATACAGATATGAGTGAAATACCCACTTTTGGTGGTACGAAGCAAGGACTGTTTTCCAAGTCCAAGAAGTGTTTGGACTCCAGGAACACTAGGTGGGATCTCCTTCTCTATAAGCGGACCTATCCGCCGACAAACATGGAGCAGATAGTCTGCAGGAATGTGCTGGTTTAAAGTCACCTGCAGGAGTGAGAGACAGCTATTACAAAGTCATAAAACAACTCAATTATAAGCATTCAATAACAAACCAAAAATATTATAATATATACATTACATATCTGTGGTTGAAATATGTGACAGCGCCACAATCATTTAATCAGCCCGATTTGATGTTGATACAATTTAAAAAACACTTAAGTCTCTTTCTACTTATACTTGCTCATAATGTCTAGCAATGTTTCCTAATGGAATGTAGTCGATTAACAATCAGGACTGATAAAAACGAGGGAGAAGTAAAGAAAGAGGAGGAGAATGGAGACGAGGGCGGGTTGTGATTTGCTGAGCCAGATCCACAGAGCTGTCAATCTTCTGTAGTAGCCAATGAAAGCACAGTTGCCAGTGCGAGCGAACCAGAAGATTCGTCAGAGACTCTTTTGATTGGCTGTGAGCTTCTGTGTCCCTCCTACTAGCCCGCACAATAGCTAAGCCTATATATAGTTATTCACCGACGGGCCTATGCTTATATAAATGTTAAAATGTGTAATAATAAACATAAACCAATGACAACCGCGTCTTTTCTGTGTAGTTATTCTAAATAAATATACACATCTGCTTCGAGTCAATTGGTGATTAAATTCGATGTTACACTCCTCATTTGATTAAAAAAGTTAATTGTGAAAATTCACACTCACCCAGTCTTGAAAGGTCCGTTTGTATTTCTCCCCGTGCCAACTCCATCGTTCAGGTATTAACTAAAGTTTTTTAAAAACAGCGCGTTAGATTGACACACAACGGCTAGTACCGTCCCGGCTCGGCAACAAGCTATTTTATATGATACCGGCCAAAAATTACTGAAAAGTTTCCACAAAAGCGAACAGATAGGCATCATTACGGAAACACGCACGAGAATAAAAACAGAAAGGACCAGCTGAACTTACCTCATACTCCTCCAGCTCCTCGATCAGAACCTAACAACAAACACACACCGTTAGCGTTAGCTGCTAGCAACAGCTAGTTATTTAGACGATTTATAAGCAGTATGAGTTAATATTGTGCTTATTTTAGGTTGTTACCTTTGCTGCTTTTTTGCAAGGTCCAGACAGCAGAAACCTGGCAATGAGGTAATAAAGTTCTGCAAAGAAAGAGAGGTGTTGTTAGCATGGTGCTACCTAATGTTGCTATTGAGCCGAGCTAACGTTAGGTTGAACTCGGGTACTTAGCGCGCTAGCTGACAAACAACTGTAAACTATGTGAATGCAAAATCTTTACTCGCAGACCAAATGGCCGCTCAGCACTCACCAGCTTCGGTTTGTGAATACTGTTCTCCTGCCATCGCTTGGTAGGACAGGCGACATTAAGACAAACTGATGTTTTAGCTTGCTCGTTAGCCGCCGGCTAGCTAACAGTAGCTAGTTGCGTGTAGCTAAAACAGGCTCGTGAATGGCCTCCTCTCTCAAGTTGTTCCCTGACCACCTGGTGCTTTGTGTCAGCGCCCTCCAGTGAAACAGTGCATTATCGGTGTTTGTTTTCTTTACAGGTTGAACATTAATAATAATTATTATCAGTACAACATAAATTATGTTTGGATACAATTATTTTCCTGTATTACACGGTAAAAAAAATACACATTACAATGTTTTTGTTTTTGAAATTAGAGTGAGGAAACATTGAATAAGTTTGCATACCAATATGAAAATATTTTATAGGTGTCCAGTTTAAATAAAATAAAAATGTTGTGTAGCCAAAGGTTTAAGATATGTATTTATCATGGTGTTAATAAATATGCACAGTACATTTATGAATTTGAAATGGTTATCTCTGATTCTCTTTTCTTTTGTTAAATTGTATTCATCCTTAGATATTACGACGGGGCCAATAAACAAAAAGGGGTTCTATTGACCAAGGACATACTTTGTAAATTCACAACTTTTCAGTATTTTTATCCAAGTTTTAAAATAAAAATATATTTTCAATGTTTGTTTCCTGTCTAAGCACCCATACAGCACAGGAAATACCATTATCTGTGAACATAGGTGGCAATAAACAATTATCTTTTTCTAAAATGTGCATCTACAAAACATATTCAGTTATTTTAAAAAAAAAAGTCAAAGTCAATTTTATTGTCAATCTTTTAGTTTGTGTGTACAGACCAGTCTATGGTACAGACTGATCGATCGAAATACCGTTTCCCAAAAATCCAAATATATATAAAAATATGTATATTCTATAGCCTATATACACAATCAACAGACACATTTATACATATGCACACATTAAGATAAAAACACAACAATCAATATATACAAAATAACAGTCACTTCCTACAATATCTTTGTGTATATAAAATATGTATCAGTATTGTAGATTCATCTACTAAACATACTCAACCTAACATTTAGATCCACCTCGACCCCTTACAACACTTACTTTCTAAATAATATGCCAAAACTAAGCACATTTTGCTGACATTTATTTTTCAGGAACATTTTTGAATGAAGGGCTTTCAACTTTATGCAGCATATTATACATGTTGAGGATCTGAACTGCACTGATTGACATAAGGGTGGCGCTGCAGCATCTGTTGGATCATCTGAAACCTGTGGGACTGACAGTTCACCACTGCATTTGTCTTAACAATTTCAGAACTCAGCCCATGCTCATGTAAATAACATGTGATGATCAGCTAATAGCGTTCGAAACATAGGGTTTGAAAGCATGCCTCAGAGAGCAGAAGGTATGATTCACACCAATCACAGCATATTAGTGTAATCTACATATATGGAATACCGGTGACATTTATTCAGTGTTTTATACAACCTGTTGTGCATGATCAGGCAGTTTGAATAAATTCATTTTAATTGGGTATCTTTTAAATACAAACCACAAGAAACGCAGACACACAATCACATAACTAGTAGGCTATAGTACAGTGGGCGGGATTGAGTGTGGTCCAACTCTGGCTGCAGAGAAACTCTTCATTCAGCCTTCATCTGTGCGTGCGGACAGGACTCGTTGTTTCCTAATGAGAGTTTAAAGAGTGAGGGGTCAGGGTCTCTGTGTGTCCCCAGTACCGGTCGGACTTGATCTCTGGGCAACTTTTTGGGATAAATTACGTCGCGGTTCTTAGTCGGTTAAAGACCCGTTTACTATGGTTTCCACACATATCTCCGTTTGGACTCGCTGACTGTTATTTCCCACATAAGGTAAGTTACCATCTTGGTGTGGAAGCTATACGTGCTAACAACAAACCGGTGCACAGTGTCGGTGTTTTGGCTACTTATAAAGTTGCCACGCTTATTACAAATCTGATTTTCTTGATATCTGATATTAAACTCCTTAACGTATGTGAAGGAAAAACAGGCTTGTATTTGTCACTTTCTACAAGTCTTAACTTAGCTGAATTTGCTTTTCAATACTTAAAACTACTTATTTTTTCATTAGTAGCCTAGTTGATATTAACTTTTGTTTAACACAAGCTAATTAATGGAGAATGAGGGTTTTCTCATGTTTTAGCCAAAGTGCTTTATAATTATATATATTAAAGAATTGACCAATTTGGGATTAATAAATATCTATCTATCTACTATATATTATTATTTTTTCAATATTAATGTTATTGTAAGTATTATTAATTATCTGGTGCTGTGTGAAGGGATCCTGTGAATGTAATGCTGTCTATGACTAATGAACATTTGTATTGTGTTGACAAACTAGCTACCTGTACACCAGCTCTTGGTTTGGTGCACACTATTACATCTGAACAATGATCACACATGACTTTTGGAGAATAAAATGTAAGCCTAAATGGCAGTATCATGCATCTGAAAGGGTAGCATCTTCATCTGTATGAAGAGCAAAAAGGCTGGAATATGAGATTGAAAAGCACCAAGGAGGAGTTTGATGTCACAGGATTCCTGTTTAAATCCAAGTCAATGGCAACTGGGTCACTTTGTTGAGCGAGCAACATAATAATGTGACAAAAACAAAGCTAACGTTTGTAGTTGAAAGGAGCCATTGTGCAAATGATGTCCAAAAGATTGTTCTGCGTCTTCATATACCCACGCTGAGGATGCTGTGCAGAGCTGGGCCTTGCATGATTCATGAATAGTGATGAGGAGGATGTGTGCTGACAGGATGGGCTGTTCCATGACTGGCTGAACTGAGGTGTATGCCCCATATGCTCCCTTTTTACCTCATGCTGCTAAACATTTGGGCCAGCCTCGTGACTCATGCCTTCAGCCGTTTTTTTTATTCCCATCACTAAATCCGATCTAACATTGAGAGCTAGATTACATAGTGTATTCTATATCGGTACACGCCTGCCACTATGGAAACAGAGGGCAAGAGTCAATCATGATCTTTATCCTTCTGTACTTTGGCTGCCTTGTACTGACTACTCTCTCACTCATTGTATCTGTTCACTTTGGAAAATAATACCCTCCTCATGATAAGATGATGAAAAATATTGTGGCAGAGATTGCTGAAAAAATAAAACTGCATATGAAAAATAAACAACAGAGGAATACTTAAGATTAAAAGAAGTAATACTAAACCAGTGCCCAATAGAATTTCAATAAAGTAAGATAAATTAAGTCAAATAAATAAATTAAAAAAGAAAAGTAAATTGCAAAGACAATAGAAAATGAACCAATAGAGTTATACAAATAACGTGTATGAGAAGTAATACTAACACCAGTGTACTAGAATAACAATAAAATAAGATACCTTTTTTTAATTTTTATGAGCATTTCAAGAAATTATTTACAAAGCATATAACCAAATAAACACAGATAGATACATAAATGACCTACGTAGCAATCGACAAATCAGGAAAAAAATTAAATAATAATAAAATTAATTGAGAAAAAAAAAACATAATAATGGATATATTATTAATATTAATAATTTCATCAAAAATATGAACTTTGTTTCTAATTCTCATAGTTGTTTTCTCAATTCCATACATTTCATTTACTAGTTTCTTCCATTTGGAGTTGAGTAAGTTATTATCTTTAGCCAAACTCATGTTTTGGGATGTATATTATAATAATAATAATAATAATAATGATTTTACATTAAAAAAACAAACAAGTAAACATTGTTTGAATTTAAAAGTGCTTAATGTTTTTGCAACTGGCAATCATATACATTTTCATTAAATTCGGATTATGTTTCATAAACAAGATTTAGTATATAACATTTATGTGAAGCTCACTCATAATATGAGCTGCAAGTTTGTCTCAAAATAATTTAACTTACAATTTTAAGAATTTTTTAAAAACAATTATGATCTATTATGTGGTAATTGTGACTAATTAACCATTAGCATTTGACAATTATGAAAATCTTTTTCACAATTAGCTTCATTATCTCTGAAAATGTCTTCCCTTTTCCTTTTCTCTTCCATTTACTCCCTCTTTGTCCCTTTTTCGCGTTTCATTTTCTTGAATGCCTGTTAGTATGCCAGCAATATTGTATTTACCATTTAAGATTAAAATGAGCTAGAGGCCTTATGGGCATTTTCTTCTCTGAGAAATAACTGTGCTTGGTATTCTGCTTCTTTGCGTCAGCAGTGCTGTGACAGTGTTTTAAGTCGTGTTTGCTGAATCTCTGCTGTGGTGAATGTTAGTTAACTGATGACACAGCCTGCTCTCTGATGTTACGGAGCATGTTGTGGGGAAAGTAGGTTACTGGGCCATGTCCTGCAAGCTTAAACTGAACACTAGTCTGAATATTGCTCGAGCTGCTTAGTGTGACTGGGCATGCACAAATGGGATAAGTCTGTGCAAAGGCAAAGAGACCATTTCCACCCTCTGTCTCTTTAAGGACCCAGAGTGGCGCTCCACACAGAATGAATGTTGAATGTTCAGCCCATGATGATTTATCTGAAACACATGAACTAGAGACAGATATGACAACAGGTTGAGTTATGTTAAAGGCTGCAAATTACTAAGCCCTACTTACTTTAAACATTTTTGCTAGTATGAGCAGCCTATTTTTAGCATTTACATTGTATTTACATACATTTTACCTACTCACATTTACGTCAGTGTATATTTTTCTTTTAGAAATACTAACAAAATGCTTTATCTGAAGCTCAAGACGCAGCTAATATTGTCTTAAGGGAAGTCTGATAAATTAATCTTGGATTTATTTTTATGAAACTATTTCAAACCTTTGAAATCATGGTGCAAAGGTTAATTCAATGTTATAGGAAAACTACTTGTCCTTGGATGCCTTTGGACTTGCTTTCTGTTTGGTACATATAGTCTATATGGGTGTGTTGTTGTTTTCTATAATTTGCTATAACAGTATGTTCCTTTTGGAATAGCAACATTTATATAGTGGCTTATTCCAGTATTTTTAGAGATATATATTCAAGTGTCTTTCACATACCTCAATGTGAAACGGTGGGTTAAGTATTGTAACCCTAGTTATATAAGCACAGGCGGAGCCCTCTACTGGACTCTATGGGTACTACCTCTCAACTATACTATGCGAGCATTCATTAACTGAGATATCTATAACCGTAGCCGCCCCCCTGGGGCGGGCCTACCTGAATGCGCCTGAGTGCGCGCGCAAGCCCACCATAAGGCGGCCTCGCCTCCTGACTGTCATCCTACACTTCTCTTCAGCGAGCAGCATAGGACAGACAGGGCCCCGAGTAGAGGGCTCCACCTGTGCTTATATAACTTATTACAATACGTAACCCACCGTTATATCTCACACAGGCTCCGCCCTCTACTGGACTCTATGGGTACAGTGGATGGATCCCTGATGCCTAAACGCCCTGTCATCCAACAACATCGAGTCACCACACTGCCCCTGA